TTAGCATAAATCTTGGGGATTCTATATGTCAACGGGACCGAGCGTACGCTGTCAGGATATACCATTGTTATGTTTAGAAGATAGTGATTTAATTAAATGAAGTAAATGCTAGTGAAATGGCTGTATTGAAGGATTATATCTCATTGAGGTAGTAAACATTATGTATTAATGTATTATTCTTTGTAATAATATTCTCATCTCAGCCTCATGATTTATTCAAAGCTACAAAAAGCTTTATAAAGCAAAGTAAAATGATCATGCAGGTTAACAATGGTGTTGATTTCATCATACAATGCTTATGGTATATTTATATAAAAGGATATTTTTTTGTCTGCCTGCCACTTGGAAATTGCACATATCAATATGGGTTCAAAACAGTGGTCAGTAAATTACGCCCTTATTGGACATGCCCAAGTAAGCATTTAATTCCCTTTTTAGTACCCCTAACGATTAAGTACTCTAATTCTATATAATGCCATAACAAATGAACTGCATCATAAATATATGTTTCAAAATGTTGTTCTGATGTTAGCTAAACTTAAAGGAACACTATAGTGTCAGGAACACAAACGTGTATCTAGCCCCCCTGCCTTCCTCCCCACCACCCCTCCCCCATTGTCCTTATAAATATAGTAAAGTCTCAGCATTATTCCAATTTTCTGGTGCTGGCTCTGCCCTTGATATGTCTTTTTGGCTTGCATCGTCAGAAGTAATGATCTCCGTCAATCACAGTATTTTCCAGTAGGAAATGTCAATAGCTGAGATTGTCAATTCCGATGATCTCAGCCATGGAGGAGGGCCGGGGGCTGAGCCAAACTCCGCCCTGGCCTATCAGCATCTCCTCATAGAGATGCATTTAATCAATGAATCTCTTTGAGGAATGTTCAGTGTCTCCATGCAGAGGGTTATGACACAAAATGTCAGTCAGACTTTGTAGCACTGCCCCAGGAAGCACCTGTAGTAGCCATCTGAGAAATGGCCAGTGCAGGTGTCCGTAAGGAGGAATGTATCCACTGCCTTTTCTCTGACAACAATGTAGTAGTTCTGGTGAGTATAGCCTGTCCCTGCAGGCTATTTCCTCTGCAGAAACTCTGCTGGGACAAGCTAAAATCACTAGAACAACTACATTAATCTATAGTTATTCTGGTGAATATAGTGTCCCATTAATAGAACCTGTACTGACCCTGCCTTGTAGCTAAATTTCTAAGAGTGTAAAAGGCACTCCAAACACCCAAAGCCCACCCTCTCTTCTGAGAACCGAGAGTTTGTAAACACTATGGTAAGGGGGACTTGAACTGTAAATCGCCACAAATTTCCTCCGATGAATCACTATATACACGTTCTGCTTTGCCGAACTAACGTGCTCCCAGTGTCTACAGCCTCGCACTACACAGATTGAATACTTGATAGTGAATGAAAAAGCACAAATGAGGGTCTGGATTGTGAGTCCCATGGAAACCTCAAATAACAGCCTGATGAAAACCAGGCAAACTTATCCATCCTACCACTTTAATCACTGCAATAAAGCTGGAGTGGTTATAAATACTTAGATGTTTGTTGACAATAAACAGTATGCAGATTTTTTTTGTGTTACATTTTATATTAAAATTTAAGAAAAGTGCTGTCAAACGTAGATATTTTTTTTTTTTTTTACAAATAATGAAGGGGGCGTGGGCCATCAAAGTTCCAGATGAGCAGTATTTTGTACATCAAGTTGATGTTTTTGCTGATTTGTTGACCTAGTCTCTTTAAGCCTGTTTCAAATTGAGCTCCAATACATATATAAGCCAGCCATTATATAAAGTACACCCTGTCCACCTTCACTCCTCTTGCCCCCTTCATTATAAGCCCCTTTTCTTTTGTCTCGTTTTCTCCTTGGCCTACTTTTCTTCATCCCTATACTTTAACTCTTCTTTTCCCTATCCTCCTTTCCCCTTAACCCAGAAGGTTATCCCCACTCCAAGAAACCCATTATTTTTCAGTTCATTTCACCGTACTAGCTGTTCCCTGCAGAATCAGTACAATAAGATGTAGTGGGTTTGTTCGTGTCCCTTTAATTTGCGATTATTTGGGGTTTAGTGAATAACCATTTAACATGTTGCTTGACCTTAACCTTGAAAAAGAGGACAGAAGGAGGTATAAGAGATAAAGAAATGTGGAAATGAAAACTAGAGTAGGAAAGTGAAGTTGTTTGATTGTTATTTTTATAGTACAATAATACTGAATTTGGGGATGTAAAATGTTAATAAAGCAAGATATATTTAGAAATGTCCTTAAGGATATAAAATTGGCAGTGTCAGGTGGGCAGATAGGCAAACATACTGACCAACGTTATTATTTTATATAAAGATACGTTGGCATATGTGTCTGGTTGCTGAATGTGAATTAAAACCACTTCCCTGAATTATCTCTTGGTGGCACTGTTGACCAATATGTCTTTTAAGCATCAGGAAAATATGACAGAAAAACTTAAAATAACTCTGGTGGGTTTTAACTTCAACTGTTTCTTTGATCAGTGGACGTTTCACTGATCTTTTGTTCACCTCAGCAGAATAAGCTGGAGTCAAGTGATATATTAGACAGCGTCTCTTGTTCTAAGGCTTAGAAATTATGCTATATACGCAGACATATACAGACAGACCTATGCACATACTCAGGAATGCAGGTCTAATTTGAAATGATTCCTGAAAGCAAATAGAATATTCAAAATGCAACATATACTCTTGTAGAAAGCATTTTCTGTGTACTGCTTTTAATTGGCTAAAAATGCTCCACAGGTTTTATATAGTATACAGACATGGACAATGCTGTTTGTGGAATGTATAAAATCATCCATACAGTAACATTTATATATTATTCATAGCAGATTGCTTTTTAAAGGAACACTCGTAGGCATCATAACCATTTATTCTCATTAAATTGGTTGCAGTGGCTGGAGTCATCTTGTGTTGTACCTCCATCCAGTGTTATACCATTTTTAAACAGTTTAACAAGGGCCCCTGGTCACCCACAGCCAAGCCCTTACTGGATGTACGGCTAAGCATGAGATGACACTGTTCCTTCTAGCAAATGGGCTCTTTGATAATTTGCGAATGGTTAGCTGCCACTCTCAACCACTGCTGCTTAGGGTAATACTTTCTCATTAGCCCAAGCAGTGCCATCATTAGCAGGAAAAACAATAAATATGATTTAACGCTTTGCAGGGCAGGTGTTCTGGGAAACTGCCTTCTTCTTGAGTTTAGCTCCACTGAGCTAAACAACTAGGAAGTAACATAACAGGGTGTCTGATTGACAGGCCAGAAGGAAAGTGTAACAATTCTTTTAAAAATCTGCACTTTATGTTAAATGAAGAAAGAGAACATACTCTTCACATTTAAAGCACTTCAGCAGCTAAAGTGCGTTAGGAGTTTGCAGTCTTCCTGTAATCAAAACTAAATTTTCTAAAAATGTGTATTTGCACATATGCACATATTATTTAGTACTGGCGTTTATAAAGAGCCAACATATTCCGCAGCGCTGTACATACATACCCTACACATATTTTTAAATAAAGTAACATTCTATACATATATAGACACATATGATGTCCTCCATTTCAGCTACCTCTGCATTATCAGATCTACCCATTTAACACAATCCTTCACAGCACCCATTTCAACTGTGTCCTCTTTTTCACAAATTTTCTACTTTTGTTTTACAGATCTTTTAAACCTCCCTATTACCATAGGCGTGCGCACGGGGTGTGCCGGGTGTGCCTAATCCCGTGGCACGCCTATGGTTTGAGTCCTGCACTTTTTTTTGAGCAGGAACGCTGTTCCTGCAGGCACTCAGCGCCCCACTCACCTCTTGCCCCTGTCATGGGGGGGGAAGAGGTGATGGATTCCCCCCCCGCTCTCCAGCTCAGCCGCGGCGAGGGAGCTGTCTGTTCTCTGCTCCCTCTCACTGCGCGCTGATGCCGGGAGCCGGAATATGACGTCATATTCCGGCTCCCAGCTACAGCAGACAGCCCGCGCGGCGAGAGGGAGCAGAGAACAGAGAGCAGACAGCTCCCTCGCCGCAGCTGAGCTGTGTCTGTCTGTGAATGTGTGTCTGTGTCTGTGTGTGTGTGTCTGTGAATGTGTGTGAGTGTGTGTGTGTCTGTGAATGTGTGTGAGTGTGTCTGTGTGTGTGTGTGTGTGTCTGTGAATTTGTGTCTGTGAATGTGTGTGTGTGTGTGTGTGAGTGTCTGTGTGCGTGTCTGTGAATGCGTGTCTGTGAGTGTGTGTCTGTCTGTGTATGTGTTTGTGTGAGTGTGTGTGAATGTGTGTGTGTCTAAGTGTATGTATGTGTGAGTGTGTGTGTGTGTGTGTACGCATATATATATAAATATATATATACACACACACACAGAGCCGGCGCTATCTGAGTGCCGGCTCTGCTCTAAGCCTCCATGGGCCGGCGGGGAGACCAAAGATCTACCTCACCGGCCCACAGCAGCATGGAGGGAGGCAGGAGAGGACCCAGGGAGCTCTAGACAGAAGCTCCGCCAGGTTCCTCTCGCGATATCTGAGCGTTGCTGCGGCAACGCTCAGATCTCGCGAGAGTTAACTCTAGCCCCGCAGGCTAGAGTTCACTCTCCACTGGACCACCAGGGATGGCACATGGCAGCAAGGATTTACTAATCTGCCAAATCCCTCCAAACATACAGCACACACACATACAGCACCTACACACATACAGCTCACACACACACAGTACACTAACCGCACCCTCACAAACACACACAGCACCTTTAAAAAAAACACAACACCCTCACACACAGCACACTAACAGCACCCTCACAAAACACACACACACAAACAGCACCCTCACAAATACACGACACTCACACAAACAGCACCCTCACAGGACAAACATACACACACAAACACCCTCACACACAAACAGCACAGTCACAAACACACACACACACAAATACCCTCACATCACACTAACAGCACCCTCACACACATCACACTAACAGCACACACAGCAGTGTATGTGTTTGTGTGAGTGTATATGTATCTATATATATATACATATATATATATATGTATATATATATAGATACATACACACACACACACACACACACGGCGGGTGTTTGTGCTTTAGGGTGCACACCCTAATGCAATAGGCTGCGCACGCCTATGCCTATTACCATAGTGCCTTTCCACGTGTTCCATATCAACAACTACATAACAGTTAAACTTCTTGTTTCAGGTAGATATTTTCATACCTGTCTACTAGGAGCCAGCCATGATGTACCTTATAGAGTTCCTGTTAAAGTAGATGGGGAATCACCTTCATGCTGGGTTGAGGGCACTGGCCTACATCCATTTCTTCTCTGGATTGGCCTTGAGTTTGGCTTGACACTACACCAAGGTTATGCAGGACATTTAAATTATGAGAAATGCAGCAGGGCCAGTCAAGGCTTCTGGGCCCTTTAAGGCATCACCAATGATGTTTTCAGAATCAAAGACATTATCGAGTACATACATTCTGTCCAATTTTTCTTTTTTCATTATTCAGCATTAAGAAGGAGCATTGGTGCAATACTCCAGAATTGGCTGAGGCCCTGGTTATCATTATTATTTATATAGCGCCAGCAAATTGATCAAATGCCTTCCTTAGATTCTTATTTCATATAAATATATTTCGTATTATTATTAGCCATTACAGTTTTTTCTGAGTCATTAGGGTAATCTACACAGTAAGAGGCTATAAGGCATAAAATGTATGAGAATTAGCAGTTCCTTCTTTTTTATCTTGATGTGTTTTTTTTCTTTTCTCTTTTCCCTTACTGTCTGTTTCAATTGAGACTGTATGCGCCTAATAAATTAGATTTTTGTTCGCCTACTTTGGTGTTTCCATGGGAACCACTGAGTGCCCCTCCTTACTTCTGAATCTAAATGCTTGCATAATTTAATGTCCCTTAACACTAATAAATGTTATGAAAATATCTAAATACAGCAAGTAGACAAGCAGTTATGCATGCAGTGTACTTTATGTTACAGAACCACAGCTTTTAGGATTCTAAAGAGAGTTATGAGAGATGTATTATTATTATTATGTTCTTATTTATATAGCGCCAACAAATTCTGCAGCACTTTACAGTGGGTAAAGTAGAGTTTGTAGTTTGTGGGTATAGTTTGTAGTTCTACAAACTCTGGAAGTCAAAGTGTTGGACCCCCCTGCTTTCGCATATAGAACTAACAATAATGACTAAAGGCAGGTCTTGGAGTAAATACTAGATTAAATTGACTGGAGCCGGGGTTAGACATTAATAGTGGACCAAACTGTGCAAGGATAATACTAATATAAAGAACATGACAGGACCGCGGTGAGGTAAAGTACAGTATATTAAATTACTTGGGAATCATTATGAATAATATAAGTAACAGTGGACAATGAGTAGTAATCTATTTGACTAGATGTTAATATCTCACTATTACTAATCTGGAAGTACTCAATGACACGTTATTAATGTGTGTTTATGTATGTGTCCTCGAGAGATTTGTGTATATAAGACTTTCTAAACTTCCTTGAATCAAACTTTGTACTCGGCCCACTTAATAAAATGTAAATGCAAATGGTCTGGTATAATAGTATAATTAACTACCACCAGCACGGCATAACTGTATATACACTGATCAGCCACAACATTAAAATTATTGAGAGGTTAAGTGAATAACAATGATTATATTGTTACAAGAGGGGGGATATATATTAGGCAGCAAGTGAACAGTCAGTTCTTGAATTTCATGTTTTGGAAGCAGGAAAGATGGGCAAGTAAAAAGATATCAGGGACTTTGACAAGGGCCAAATTAGTATTCCCAGTATGCAGTGGTTAGTACCTACCAAAAGTTGTGCAAGGAAGGACAACCGGAATCAGGGTGAAGGTGAACCGGCATCAGGGTCATGGGCACACAAGGCTCATTGGTTCGCATGGGGAGCAAAGGCTAGCCAGTCAAATCCAATTTAACAGTAGAGCTTAGATTGCTGAAAAAACTTAACACACTGCATCGCAGTTTTCTGCATTGCAGCATACCTGTCACAGTGCCCATGATGACCTCTGTCATCGAAAGTGTCATCAATGTAGACGTGAGCGTCAGAACTGGACCATGGAGCAATGGAAGAAGGTTGCCTAGATGAAACATGTTTCTTTTAGATCAGGTGGATGGCCATGTGCATCGTTTACTTGGGGAAAAGATGGCAGGAAAATGCAGTGTGGGAATAAGGCAGGCCGGTGGAGGAATTGTTATGTTCTGGGCGATGTTCTGATGGAAAACCTATAGTCCTGACTTTCACGTGGATGTTTCTTTGACACATAGCACCTACCTAGAAATTGTTGCAGATACACCCCACCCCCTCCCTATCAGGGCAATAGTGTTCCTGATCTGGTCTCAGTAGGATAAGGCACCCTGCCAAACTTGTCATGTGCCTCAAAACATTTCTGAACAATGAGTTCAAGGTATTGCCTATGGGATGTGCTGGAATAAAAAATCCAATCCTTGGAGACCCCACCTCGCAACTTGCAGGACTTAAAGGATCTGCTGCTAATGTATTTTTTGCCAGATACCATAGGACAAGTTTCAAGGTCTTGTGGAGTCCAAATGGCTTTGATGTTGCGGCTGATCAGTGTAAACCCCAAAAAGAAACAATAGGAGTTGATATTTAACATAAAACTCATGCCTTAATATTACTTCAGTGTGAGACACAGTGGAATGTACATACATGTACTGTATATAACGAGTGTCAACACTTTATTAGCTTAAAAAGAAAACCTCTTATAGTGTACTATACAAAAACAACTTAGCAGATGCACGTAAAATAATGCACTTACAAATAGAAAATGTGCTATGTGATAAGCATAGTGCAAAAGAAGGTTGATAACCGCTTCTGGCTCCTGGATAACAAATTGGAACAGTCCAGCAGGTGTAACTGCTGCTGCATGTGTTTCCACACTCACCTTTCTGTTGAAACAGCTTTGAAACAAAATGATCCGTGATTTAATTGCTGTAAAACCTAAGGGCCACTTCCTTTGTATTTCTCCCTGATCTTCACGCTCCTTCAACAATGTTTTAGAATTCCTTTACATAGAGTTTCCTCCTCCTGCAACTCATTTCTGTTGGTGTTTCCTAAAGATTTTGTCCCTGTTCCCTACTGTGCTCAGGCTGTACTTCCTTTCTTAGTTTGTTCCTCATTGGTGACTTTCCCTGTTCTCCCCATTACATTCCTTATTAAATGCTGCAGCCGGACTTAACTTCATGTCCACTCCCACGCCACACACCATTGTCAGCATTTACATTGGATTTCCCTAAGATTAGGGTTCACTTTAAGTTTTTGGTCCTTACTTACAAATTACATCAGAGGACTACCCACTACCTCACTATTATGTCCCATCCAGGCCCCTTTACTCTTCAAAAGAACCAAGGCTGTCCTATGGTCACACATGCACTCCTAACTCTCACCTTCAATACTTATCTAAGGCTGTACCATTCTTATGGAATTTCCACCCTCTCTCACTCTCCCACTGTCACCTAGTCTCCATTCGATTCTGAGCCAATCTCCATGCCTTCAAAAGTCACTAAAAACTTACTACTTCAAGAAGGTTTTCAAAATAACTGTTAAATTTCTTCCTTTGCTGTCCTTCCCGACACCTCACTAATCTGCTTTACTTTCTCCATTCCACCTGAGTCATCTAATTATTAAGTTCTCATTTTATTGTAAACGCTCATAGTAACCAAATAACTAAAATGGATGCGACATAGTACCCTCCGCGTGCGCCCCATCTCAGGCTGCAAGGAGAACCAGCGTTTTTTGTTTCTCCTCCATGCTGTGAGGGTTAATTCGGAATACACCGGCAGTGAAGTCTCCCGGTGCAGGGAGAGCTAGTAATAGCATTAGCCACCAGTGTGGGGAAATTTAACCCGTGCAGGGTTGCAGGGAGAATCTTACCTGCATGGGTTAAGTCTCCTGCTGCAGGGAGATCCAGACTTTTTTGTTTCTCCTCAGTGCTGTGGTCGTTAACTCTCCTGCAGCACGGAGTCTATTAAACAAAAGAACTGAAACAAAAAGGTAATACATTCGGCATTTGCCCTTTCGTGTCGTATATAATTTGCATGTAAGACTTTTGTTTATGTCATAGTAAACGAATAAGAAAAAGTCAGAAAATTCAGACAAAATCATATTCGTTCAATAACGAATGCACATGTCTACTATCTATCTATCTATCTAACACTGACATTAACAGCTAGTCACTGCTATGCAAACTTTCTCATAAGACCTTGCAGCACAGGTGCAATGGGACTTACATTTAGTGTCAAACTATTTAACTCTGAATGGAGAATGGCTCCAGAGGACTCCAGGTACTATAACAACTTCACTGAGATAAAATGGTTACAATGCCTTTAATACCGTTAATACTGGAAGACTTTCAGACCTCTAGGACTCCTTATACATAGATAAAGATTTATTGACTACATAGTTGCAACAAACTAGGAAAAAATTCCTTCTTAACCCCAAAATAGCAGTCAGATGTCTCCTTGGATCAAGCAGCTATTACCACCAATTAGAAATTATACCCCTGACTAGTACTCTGAAAGGACAAATTACTTCTCTATCAGTCCCCTTTCTTTCATGGATCATTTGCTGATATTCAGACCAGACTCTGGTTAGATTTGTCAGGATTACTATATGATCCAGCACGTAGTATTGTGTCATACAGATGACTAATAGGTAACATATTACCGGGCCTTAGAATGGCCAGACTAACGTACCAAAGAATACTAGCCGAGGTCAGGGGACACAGAAAGGGAAACAACGATAAAGGAAAGCCAGAGGTCAGCGAACCAAAATACAGGGAAGTCAAAATCGAAGCCAAAGTCAAAAACCAGAAGAAACTTGAATCAAGAACGCACTCTCGGACAACCACTAGGGAAACCACGACAGGGCAATGAGGAAAGGTAATTTTAGGTTTAAATACCTGCTTTACCTTTCCGATTGTCCGAGATCGCTCTTTGACCCCAAAATGTGCGTGCACGGTGCGTGCGTGACGACGTCGTCAATCACGTGAGCGGACATGGGGGTATAATTAGCCGTGGA